GCATCACTCACACACGCTGGCTGCCCTTGCAACTGCTGCAAGACAAACCCAGAAGTTTGAACGATGAAGTGTGAAGTCCCCAGTAATTTCAATGTGACCACAAGCAGCTTCCATGGAGAACAAGAAAGCACAAAGCCTCGCTTTAAGGGGAACCCCCCAATATTTATTCATTTATGTCTTTGTAGAGTTATATCATGGCTTGTGCTGAAGTTGTCACAATTTAATAACTCAGTGTGGTATTCTGCAGCAAATAACAAATAGCTTGCTCATAGAGGCTGTACTTTTGCCAATGGTCTCAACTGGTTGAGGGCTGTGCTTCAGCCTGTTTCACTTGCTTTCACTCTCAAATCTTTGAGAATGCTTTTGGTAGAAGTTTGATAGTCAGGTATCAAGATCTCTTCAAAATCAGTATCAAGGATGCTGGAGGTTTTGAGATGTCTGCTATCAATTGTCACTGTTGACAAAAAAGGGAAGGAATTTAAAAATGAAGTGCTTGGCACAACTTCCTCCTTTAGTTCTGTGGAGCTGGTTAAAAATGCTGTCTTTGATGTAAATCAGTTGGAGCAATATTTGCAGTCTGGATAACAAAACTAAAATGGGTCTGCAAAGCTCAGGCACCACGTATATTTACTCTTCCTCCTGTTTTTAAATTCTCTGTAGTTCAGATATTTCCCGTATGTTTTCAGTGTTTCAGTATCGCTGGGTTAGTGATGTGTTCCTGTGGAGTAGATGGAAATCATACAATGTAGTTTGCAAAAATATGTGCTTCATAAGAAATACAAACACAAAACCAAATAAAAGGGTTGGGTGAAGAGGTACATCCATTCACTGTTTGGCATTGAAATTCTGCATTTCTGCTCAAAGAGATGCATTTCCATTTTGTGGTTTCAAGCACCTACTTGATTTTTCTAGATTCAGTATTTGTGCACATCCTGAGATTCAGGCTGGTGAAGTCTGACTCCCATTTTGAGGCAAAAATAGCCAATTGCATTGTGGGAAAGCAGAGAGCTCTTCAAAGGTATATAAATTAATTCCTTTCATTAAAGGAACAGAGGGACAAAATGCAAAAATCAAATAAATTCAAATATGTTTAAAAAGACTGATAATAGTCTAAAGGAATGACATGAAAGAGGCAGGAGGAACTTCAGAAGTACATAAGACACTATTAGCTTTTCCTTTCAGCTTCCAGCCTCCACAGTGATGCTGCAGAGGGTGTTGCAGGAATGTCTTCAGTCCGTGGCAGCCAGAAGGTCTGGAAGATGCACCAGCAGCTTCCCCTTTGCCTCTGGCAACAGGCACTGAATCTGTGCGGCCCTGGCCATAGAGTTCAGTGGGATCAGTGAATTCCTGCAGAGGCTGCGCAGTGGGAAATGCTCCCTCAGCACTGCACAGGAGCAGGAGCTCTTTTCTCTGCAGGTCCCACATGGACATTGCTCATGGCTTCCATGTCCTCTAGAGTCTGTGATGGGCTGGAAGATGAGCTGAGTTGGAGATGTGCTTGTGAGGATCTGTCTGTGCCATCCTTTCTCTTGACGAGTTTATGGATCCCAAAATATGGTGGAAGATGTACCCACAGAGAGGGATTTTATTTTTATTCACAGCACAGAGTAGAAAAGGGCTCTACTTGTAGTTCTCCTCTGCACATGCAGGGAAGAAGTCCTGGGTTTGATTTCATCCAGATTTAGCCTTGAAACAAGAAAAGCTAAATGTGCAAGATGGCTGAAATTCAGGATACTGAGTGTGTTCAGTGAAAAAAGAATTCCTTGGAGTCAAATGTATTGCTGAATACCACCTTAAGTAGCTTTGCTGTCTCCTTCCATCGTTTTTGTGCTGTCAACAATAGGATAAGAAATTGGAAAAGAGACAAAGGTGTTAGGAAAAAAAGAAGACAAAAGAAGGTGTTGCTTTTAGGAACTTTGATTTACTCGATTTTGCTTAAAAACATTAAGCTTTTGCTGTACAAGTATCCTTTGAAAAAAGGATGTCTGTCTTTCAAGATCTTGAATGGGAAAACATTCAGGTTTGTGTCAGGCAGAGCTCACAGATTTTTTTAGATGCAAGTTTAAAAACAGACACCTTTTTAAAAAGAGATTTTGGGGTTCTTTCTTTGTAACTTGACAGGATGGTTTGTTCATGTCAATAGTCTTTTGATCACTCAAAAGACATTGAAATAAAAAATGTCAATGCTTCCACTCTTTTGATCCAGCTCCCTTAAGTATTGTTGCAGGAGGAACATATCGGATTATTATAATTTTTTAACTTGGCTTTATGGGTATAACCTGGAGCCACATTTGTGGGTCCATCCCAGAGCATTTTGGAGCCATTTCTGCATATTAACAGTGCCATATTTTTTCCCAGCAGGAGAATAATTTCCTAAGTAATTTGTACTGCTGACCACTCATCACTCTAGTTATGAAAGAACTACAGTGGGTTTTAGCTTTTTGTTTTTAAATGCTGGTAAACCTGGAATTAGAAATGTAAAGCTGTGGTTATGATGGGTTATTCTCTCCTGAATATCTCTGTAAACCCTGATCACAAAAACTGTAGGGAATGTTTTCTGTAGAACTGAAATTTAGCAGAAAAAGAAAGTACATAATTAAAACCAAATTCTGGTGTTTGTACAGAGGCTGGGATTTTATATATGTGTATGGAAAACAGGGATTCCAAATTTATTTAAATGGATTATTGTTTTGCATGAACGATAAACTGCACTTGAAAGCAACCATTTTCTAGGATTTGCTTTGTATCTCATGAAATGGTTAAAAGCAGTTTAAGCCTCCAATCCAGATGAATCGGGTGCAGGCCCTCAAGATGCAAGATTTCTGTCAGGAGTGGTGAATCTGGATTTGTGCTGTGCCCCTTGCGTGTTTCAGGAAGCACAGGTTGAAAATCCCACTGAAGCTGCTGGGAGTTTTGTTCCTGACTTCAGTGGGTTTAGAATTTCACTGTAAGGATTTTTAGGTACTTTTTAAAAATGAAAAGGTGACCTGTTTAATACTGACCCAAATAATTCACTGCACAACTTCTGTCCTCAAATTCCCACTCTCAAGCCCATAAACTGAAAGAAAAACTGTAAGAAAGTAAAACTCTGGATTTCAAGTGAGAAAGCCACTTGAGATCTCTCCACATCACACTCTGACTGGTTATTCTGGGTAGCAGAAGTGGCTGAGCTGGAGCTGTTATGATCCACAGCACTTTGTGAGGAGTGGGGAAGCAGAGACAGAAACGGGCGCACTTAGAAAATGCCTTGAGAAGGTTCGTGACACAAGTGACTGCAGCTCCCCTGGGGAATTGGCACCACGGCACACTCAGCACTGCTGGGCCCTTGGAAAGGGGAGTTAAAAAAATCCCCTGTGGGATGCAGTGAACACACTGATTCTGCCAGTGAGAAAGCAATCCCAGGATTTATTTCATCAAATCCCCACCACAGTCACACCCAGACTGATGGCACCGAGTCTCTTCTTTGGGTTTGCGCTCTTCACTTCTGGAAAACAAGAAAACAGAAAGAAATACACGAAGATCTAGAATTGCTGAACAGGGAAATGAAATCAGTTTGTCACAGGAGATTTTTTTTTTTATTGACATCTTTAGTTTGTTTTGATGTCTGTAATTAAATCGCTAATTATGTGTTTCTGTTGCAGTGGTCATGCTTTTATTACATAATTGCTACAAGTTTTTCTCTCCCCACTAACAATATTTGTTTAACCTTAGTGCATGCTAGTTACATCCTTCAGAATGGAAAAGCTTAGAAACACAATTATTGATTGTTACAATTAACTAAATCAGAGGGGCTCAAAGTTCTTTGCCATAAATTAAATATGTTTTGTGGCACAGGATCAAAGATAATTAAAGGATGAAGCAATTGCAGTCATTAAACAATAAATATTATTTTGATGCCAGTTGAAGAAAATAAAACAATAACAAAAAAAGGCAGGAAAATTGAGGGATTTTAAAAGGAGGGGAGAAAAGTTTAGCCTAAGGTAAAAACATCATTTAAAAAAATAATTTGTACTGTGATCCTTTGAGCTTCCTTCTGTGTTGTCTCAAAAAGCATCTGATTAGGTGAGATGCAATTCAGTCACCTTCTCTTTATTTTTTCCCTTTTGAGTTTAGGCATAATTTTTGTCAGTATATTTCAATGTATTCATTAATTTTTCTCATTTGTTTATTTTATGCAAACCATAAGAGACATTTTTTCCTCAGTGAAGATTGCCTCTTTATTTTATTTTGAAATATTTGTATATTTATTTCATTAAATGAGATAATGCTTTTTCTTATTAACATAATTTCCAGTACATTAAACATATTTCTCCACAGACAGAAGAGAGGAATCAGATTAAATGACAGTTAAATCACTTGCAGCAATTTCAACTGTTAAAAGAAATAAGTGTCTCTGTTTTCTTTGTGATCACGAGATGTGCTGTAAAGGGAAATGAAATACTAAAGAAAGGAGGGAAAACATAAAGAAATAATGACTGACTTATTGCAGTAATACCACTGAGAGAAGAAAAACTCACTACAAATAAAAGGAAAAATAATATAGTGGTTTTGAAAGTTACCAAAATTCATTTCTTATTGATGAGATCAGTGCAAGCCTTATACTGAGTAAACTGAGGAGGGAAAAAAATAGCAATGCACACCCAAAGCCAGACAATGCCATAAACTGTGGGCAATGAAAGAAGGAATAAATACTGTGCATTTGGAGGGCTGTTACTCTAAATGCCTCTAATTTTTAAATAATTTATATTTTATCACATTTAGGGAGGAGAGGGAAGAAGCAATTATCTCTTGGTGAGCCAGCCATGCCCCTCTGCTGCTGTTCAGAGCTCTCCAAATGTCCTGGTGTCCCTCCTGCCCCTCTCTCCCCTTTTCCTGGGCAGATGTGGGGCTGCAGGAAGGAGGAAAGCATCACTTATTAGCTCTTTTAATAAGATCTTCCAGAATTATTATAATAATATTTTCTGTCTTAATTATATTTTTATTATTATTTTAATTTCCAGAGCCTGAACCAGCTGCTTTGAAGAGATCTTGGGACTGAAGGACTGAGCTGAGTAATTTCTAAGGTAATGTTGACATTATTGTTTTGCTCCCAGTCAAGATTTCCTCTCTTTGTGCTTTTAGCTGTAAACCAGTTATTTTTCACCAATTTTAAGTGCCTGAATTTTTAGTCCTGAGTAAGGATTAGTCCAATAGTTGCCATTTTCCTTCTTTTTCTCCGTTTCCCATCAGTGCACTCTACAGCTTCACTGATTTCACCTTCAAGCTCAAGTCAGAGAAAGGATTCTTGAGAAGTGGGGCCTGTTCTAACTCCCTGCTCTATCTCAGAGTTAACTAAAACTATAATTTTTCAAGAATTTAAATGATAGTATTTTTGCTATTAAATGCTTGGTGGGTAAAAGTGGTGCCATGGGGTACAGCATCCTCCCTTTTGTGACATGGTGCAGGGAAAGAGGTGGAAAATGTCGCCTTGGAAGGCTTTTAAGGAATGGTTTCCTGGGGCAGGAGAGCAGGCTCTGCCTTCCTGCTTGTGCTCATCTGCTGCAGCTGAGCAGGGGACACTGCAGGGTCATCACCAAAGACTTTTGCACTCTGGGGTTGGTGTCCCTTAGGTCCCCTTTGGAAGTTGTATTTGCTGTGCCAAGGGGCCTGGTCAGGCAATGGAGGTGGTAATGGAATTTAGCAGTTGAGGAGACTCTGAGAAATCGCAGAGCATGTGAAACACAATTAAAGAAATAAAGCAGGAGCGTCTGCCACCATCCTCTGTGGACAGCCTGCCAAGCAGAGCCACATCTGTGCCCCTGGAGGGGCACCAGCCCAGCCCTGGCTCACAGAGACTCCAAAGCTTCTGGTGGGCACAGGCCAGGGGTCACTGCAGGCTCTGCCCCAGGATCCCTGCCCGAGGAGGTGCTGCACGGCAGAGAGAGCTGGTAAGTGCCACTCAATGCGCAGAAACATTTCTGATGGTGCTGCTCGTACTTACAACCTTCATTACCATAGTTTCAGGGGGTATAATAATCATTAATGTGTTTATTGTGCCCTTGTGAGTTGGGGCGGGGACGTTATCCTTTTTCACACACATGGAATTGAGACATAGGCAGGAAAAGTGCCGAGCTCCAGCTCGTGTGGGAGGCTGCCAGGGACCTGCTCCTGTTTTGTGGCTTTTCCTGCAGGATCCTGACCCGTCTTCGTGGCTTTAAGTCCTTGTTCAAGGTCTAAATAGGAGATGAGTTGTGCTGGGACTCCTCTGCAGTCAATAAAGGGAGACAGGGATCTCCAAAGGAGAATTCTGACCTCCTCCCAAAGGCCTTTGGAGGGTGACTACAAAACCTGCCTGCTCTCATTGAAATGCCTTAAGAGAGGCTTTGGCATCCCTCTGCTCTGGACACTCACTAAGGACAAGATTTGATTCAAAACCACCATGAAACAGAACATTTCCCTTTTTGCCTCTGCTGAAGAGGCCCAGCACAGCTGTAATTAACTTTTGAAGATGCTCCATCGTGGTTACAAAATGTGACTGACTTAGAATGTTGCAGGAGGGGTAGAAACAAGCAAATTAAAAGCTGCCTTGATGAGGTGTGAGGTTCAGTGACCAGATTGCACTGGGTTTTGCTGCAATCCAATCACCCTCTAAATACCTGTGAAGTTCTTATCACTGTGGACAATTGTCCTTTTTGTTCTCAGAGTTGGACAGGCAGGATGACTCAAACCTTCTCTGTACCCATTTCAGACTTGAGTTTTTAAAAGTGTGCATAAAGGCTTAGCTAAACATTTTTAAAGAAAGTGTTTTTAAATCAGGTAGATGATGAGAGGAATGTTTTTCAGAATTTACCAAGTTTATATTTTGCATATTCCATACCGAGGCTGTTTCTTTTCTTGTGACATCGCAAAAAATGAAATTAGTTTTTGACTGGGAGGGGATGATGATGAAGGTGTTCTCAGAATAACATGATTTAGCTTTTGGGAAATATTAAAGCATGACAACGTTGGACCTTTTTATATTAGACAACAGCAGTTTTTCCATTCTGCACTAAATACTCCTTTCAGATTTCTCATCTTGCATGATATTGCCTATTTCATGCCTCTGACAAAGTGGCTGAAACAAGCTCTTTCCCTAAATTTGTGATATTTATGGATAAAGGATTATTACCTGTGGTATTTTTAAAGCAATGAATAAATTACATTGTTTAGGCAGATGCAGACAAGGTGTTGGGTTTCTTGTCTGATGCCACAGCAAAGCTTTGTGTCAGAGTTCAGAGGGGATGCAAGAGCATTATGCTTGGATCAGTAGATTTAGGATCTGAAGTGGTTTGGAATATACACTGGAATATTTTCCTATTCTGTTTCTCATATAGTGTTTTGGCTGTGTGACCTATTCCATTGTCACATAGAAATATTTGAAATTGAGTGAGTGAATGAGGGTGTTTAGAGGGTACTAAAATTCATCAGGACCTTGCTGTTGTGGATGTGCATGGTGGCACTGCCATTGCACACTCCTGGGGGTTGGCAATAATGCACCTGCCTTTCTTGGAGAAAGGAGCACAGCAGGTTCATGGGACACTTCAGGGCAGAAGGGTGCCTTGGGAATTGGGCTTCTCCTGGCAGCACTGGAGAAAACCGAGTGAGACTTCACTCTTGAGCTTGGTGGTTGGTTCTTTGTTTTTATATGAGACAATAGGAGTGGCAAAATGAGAGAGGAAAAAGTAAGGTTGATTGCTCTTCAGAGAAGACCTTAGACAGCAGAATCTCTCACTCCAGTGACTCTGGTACATGTCTGACTTGATTATTCCTGTCCTGTTGAAATATGAGGCAGCTGGACAATATCTTGACTGAAATACATTGGAGGGATATGGAAATGTGAAGTACAGCTTTTGTGAAAATCAGAATCTCTTCCTTTTATCTATCACTACACTTGTTGATTCTTGTGACTGTGATGCAATTGATTATCTCTAAAAATGATTCTCCCTGAGGTGTGGGGACTGTGCCTTTCCCTAATGAATGAGCAGAGCTCATCCAGTTTCTCCCAGACTTGAGGCAGATCAAGGTTAGAATTTTTAACTTTTGTTTTGTTTAGTGGGTTTTTTTTTCTGTTACTGTCGGCTCAGTTTTATTTTCCAAAATAAAATTCCAGGGCAATGTTGTATTTTCTGAATGCATTCAGCTGCTCTGTTTCTGAGTGCACCTCACACCATCCCCATTGCTGAGGATGTGAGGTTCAGCCTGTGCTCTGTTCCTCTTCTCCCTGCAGTGACTTTGGCATTTCTAAACCTGTTTGCAGAGCAGAGCAACGTCTCAAAGTCATTATGTTTTATGAGTTGCATAATTACCAGTGTCTGGATATGGGATGGGGATAGCTCAGTGAGGAAAACATGGACAGGGCTCATTTGATGCCATTTCTCTCTGCTGGCAGCAGCAGTGGGACACACCACAGCATTCACTGCTGTCCTTTGTGTGATGAGGGGCATGAGGTGGTGTGGCAGAGCAAAAAGTGATCATGGCAAACCAAGTTTCAGTAATTCTCTTGCTTTGTGCAATGGATCATTGTTTCTTTTTATGGGGACTCAAATGGAAAAAGTGGCTTAGATTGGAAAAAAAATCTCTACTTACAGTTTTTCTAGATACTTCCAGCAAATGGGAACATAATAAAATGATTGTGTTTCTTGAAAAAGTTTTTGTTAAATTTAGCTTTGTTTTCTGCTTGAAAAGGGGAGGGGGTGGAGTGATAATAAATGTCATTTGAAAATAGAAGTGTCCTTGGTTTCCTGTTTTCAGTAGGCTTAAGATAATTCATTTGTTCTACTTGTAGTTTGTCAATTGATGCCTCCCTTCCAAAACTGTCTGTGGGCCGCCTTAGCCAGAGTTTCCTACAGTTATTTTTGCACTATTGTTAAACAGAACCATGCAGCATGTTGCTTTTTCAATTTACTGCGTGGGATCTGCACATAGTTTTCCATTGTGGCATATTTGTGTCTTTGTCACTTTTATTGTTTATATGCCAGCATATGGCCAGAAAAAAACAAACTTCTTTCCTCAGTTTTCTTCTTTTGTATTGTTCAGTCCACAGTGCCTTTACAGCAACAATTTGTAAAAATCAAATTCCTGGAATGTAACTGATTTGCTTGAAAAAAAGAAGGAAAACTGAGAGAATACATCTCAGGGATTAGTGAATATTTAGGAATGGCTTTATTTTCTTACCCAGGGCTGCACATGGGGCAAAAAAACCAATGCCTGTTTTTGTTTAAACTTCAGTTTGGTCATTTAGGCTCATATATCTCACCATGCCACTTGCACAGACATTAGTGCCTGCATCAAGATCCTCTCTAGAGCAAGCATTGCCAAAATCTGCCAGCATGGATTTCAGTGCCTGACAAGGACCAGATGTTTGCATTTGTGGGATATGGAACCCCAAACCCAGCAGTTTTCCAGCTGCTGCTTTATTGCAGTTGATCTAAAATTGACCAGAGATATATGGGGTTTGGGTTTTTTTTTTAACAGCGTAGTTTGCGGTTGTAGAAAAGACCATTTTTTCTTAATTTCTATGTGGCATCAATGCTTACATGACATTCTGATAAAAAAAATTTCTTGGTTTATCTGCTATTAAAAATCAATACAAACTAGGCCATATCCATGATGTGATCAGCTCTGTCATTCCATAGGTTATTGGCACCCACTGGCACAGGATTTACGTGTAATTTGAGGCAGGAATGTTGTGTTAGCACAGCTCCTGAAAAACAAGGAGTTAAATTTTAAAGCAAAATAATCATTCACTTGCAAAACTCTGCTTACTTGTCAGTGCACTTCCAATGTACCACATACTTTTAGCAGTAACCAAAGACCAGTAACCAGTTTGAAATCTCATACAACAGATGGATAAATCATGATAAATCCCCGATGTTGGCTTCTCCTGGATTTTCCATTTGTTAGAAACTGTTGCACACCACACAACCCACCACGTAAAAGCCTGCTGGAAACAAAATATGAATTTTCTGTAGTTTCTTTGGTTAGTGAAGTATTTTCAAGAATACCAACAGAGATTTGAGGTAAAGAATCCCTGCAGCAATTAGGA